ATTTGTTTAATGGGTTATCTTAAGCCACAATCGCACTGGACTTTTTTTGGTAAAACTAACCAACATGTTGGCTAGTTTTACCATAATTAGTCCAGTGCGAACAGAACAGGAAGTTTACCTGACAGAAAACTTACCCAAGCTGCGCGGTTAATTTAACCGAGTCCCGCTTGCCCAGGAAAACTGACCAGGTTAGTTTTACCTAGCAGGAAGGTCCAATGCGAACAGCGCGAATCGGGTAAACTTCCCAAGTCATCACAGTGAATGACCTTCCTCAGGCTGTCAGGCAATTACGCATGAGCTGTGACCTGGAATAAAACGTCACACACAAACATCTTGATTAATTTCGCGCGTGTTTGCTAGTGTCTTGATTTTGAGTAATTTTGTCATTTTTTTCACTTGTTTACTCTGTTTGTTTCAATGGCCGATTTATATGGAGCATTAATAAATGTGCTAAGTCTTGGTGAGACAATCCATCGCGATTATCAACAAATACAACATGATGTGGGCCTAGTCCAAAGAAACACTGTCACAACAAGAAGGATAACGTCGCTTTCGTTAATTGTTTTGCCACACATACCGGAAGTGAACGTCACGATTTAGCGCACAGAAGAGTTGAATCTGTACGAATAGTTAGTTTCACCATGGCTTGTGGTAAAACTAACCACGTCGATAAATCCCAGTGCGAACGACAGGAAGTTTACCCATTGGAATGTTACCCACAGTCTCGGTAAAAATTTCCCTATTTCAAATCCAGTGCGATTGCGGCTTTAAATGGTACTAGATCGGGGTGGAAAAAGTTTTTTTGAAAATGCGAGGAAGGCAGTAGTTATGTAATCTACTCTGAAAGTGACAACTTACATTTGGCATTGGGCAGCATCCATATTGTCCACTACTCAGTTTACAGCAAGTATTGCCATCTGGACATTCAGACTGACCATCGGGACACATTACAGACTCCAATTTGACAATTTTAGCTTCAGTCTTCTCTACCCATGGGAGTGTGAGGGCGCCCTTTGTACATGTTCCTGCACCGGTGTCGCAGGTGTAGCCACTTGGACAACAATGGAGTCCATCACTGCAACACACAGCCTACAAGATGAAAAGGTATAAAAACAATCAGAGCAAAATTTGTCTAATGGGTTATCTTAAATGGTACTAGATCAGGGGTGGAAAAAGTTCTTTTGAAAATGTGAGGAAGGCAGTAGTTATGTAATCTACTTTGAAAGTGACAACTTACATTTGGCATTGGGCAACATC